GAGTGGCCTCTTGCTGCCGGCTAGAGCCAGTCCTTTCCACTGTGCTTTAGATCCCTCCTCCTTTATTCAAGAATATTGCTCAAGCTCTTCTTCCTTCTGTTTCCTGCAACATCATTTCCCTCCCTACTAGATCGTATATCAGTCAATGAACATGTAGTTGCTGCTCCTAACCAGAGTGAAAAAAAGCAAAAAAAAAAAAGCAAACCCAAACCCTCTGTGGATGTTACTTCCCCTCTAGCTGCTACTGCATTTCTCTTCTTTATTTTACAGCAGAATTCTTTAAAAAAAAATTTGTGTTCCCTGACTCCAGTTTCTCTTCTCTCGTTGTCTCTTGAACTCACTGCAGTCAGGCTCCACCACTCTACCAAAACTGCTCTTTCTCAGGTCTCCACTGATTTCCACTTTGGTAAACCCAGTGGCCATTCTCATCTTATTAAACTTCTAAGAAGAAAATTAATAAATAAATGGTCAAGGTGGAGGTTGGCTGGGAAAGCTTGCTGAGCAAAGTAAAAATAATAGCTACCATAGTTTACTACTGTTAAGGGAAATCTAAGTATTGATAGTGTGGGATTGGTGAAAAGGGTACAGGCAATAGATTTAGAGATACTTTAGAGGTAACCAGCACCACCACTTTCTTATGGATCCTTCTGGAATATTCTATAGATATACAAATGTATTTATCAATCCACTCTCAGTTTTTTTTTGTGTTCAAAAACCACAGAAAAGTTAAAAGATAGTACAGTGATAACGTGTATTTCCCTCATCTAGATTTACCAACTGTTAACATCCTGCCATACTCACTTTTTCTTTCAATATTACCCACATTTCCCTCTTCTTTCACCACCTGAAAGTAGGCCACAGATAATACGAAACTTCTAAACACTTTACCATGTATCTCCTATGAACAAGGAAATATATATTTTTAAAAAGCATGAATTCATACTAATACTTACAGTTCAAAGTCAGCAGTACAGAGTTCTTTCTCACCTTCTTGCATTATATACTTACATTTCTCCTCTCCTACTGTGAAAATCCTGATTCCCAATAACATCTTATATTTTTATAGGCTCACTTTAGCTGTTCTGTTGAAAATAGACTGAAGGATGGGCAAGGGCAGAAGCAAGGAAACTGTTTGGAGACTACTGTTAACAACCCCAGTGAATTATGTATACTGGTAACAGTGGATGTAATGGAAGTGGTTGGATTATGGATATATACACATACACACACATATACATATGTATACACGTGTATGTATTCATTTAAATTTTAAATTTTGAAATGGTTTTAAACCTACAGAAAATTTGTAAGAACAGTACAAAGAACTATTGCATGGAGGCCAGCCCGGTGGCTGAGTGGTTAAGTTCACACGCTCTGCTTTAGTGGCCCAGGGTTTCACTGGTTTGGATCCTGGGCACAGACATCTCACCACTCATCAGGCCACGTTGAGGTGGCGTCCCACATGCCACAACTAGAAGGACTCACGACTGAAAAAATGTGCAAAAATGTACTGGGGGGATTTGGGGAGAAAAAGCAGAAAAAAAAAAAGATAGGCAAGAGTTGTTAGCTCAGGTGCCAGTCTTAAAAAAAAAACAAAACTATTGCATGCCCTTCACCTAGATTCCCTAATTGTTAAATTTTACTACGTTTGCCTATTTCTCTTTCTTTAGAGAGAGAGAGAGAGACAGAGAGATGTGTTGACCCATTACCCTTAAATACTGCAGTAGGTACTCCCTCCCCGCAAATCAAGGATAGTCCTATATTACTACTATAGGCTCCTTCCAGTCAGGAAATAAACATTGATACAACATTACCATCCAATTCACAGATAGCATTCCCATTTTGCCATCTGTCTGAATAATGGCTCTTTTTCCTTTCTTGACCAGGATCCTACCTGCAAACACACATTGCTTTTACTCATCATGTCCCCTTAGTGTCCTTCAATCTGGAATGGTTCCTTAGTCTTTTCTGTCTCTCATGTCCTCGACAGTCTTAAGAGTACAGGTATTTTATTCTATAAGATGACCTTAAATGTGGGTCTGTCTGTTGTTTCCTCATGACCAGAATCAGGCCATGCATCCGTGCAGGAATGCTAGAGAAATGATGCTGTGCTCTTCTCAGTGCGTTGCATTTGGAGGCACACTGTGTTGACCTGTCCCAAGGTGATGTTCACCTTGAGCACATGGTCAAGTTGGTATCTCCCAGGTTTTTCCACTGTAAAGTCACTGTTTCCCCTTTAGTATTTGATTACTATTTTGAAGGAGATATATGACATGACACCAATATCCTGTTCCTTATTAAACCTCCACCCAGCAGCCCTAGCCTCCATTGATAACTCCAGCTTATATCAACTACCACTCTAATGCCAAATGGTGATTCCCTCTATCATTCTGTCCACATTTATTAATTGACATTGTAACTGTAAGAAGAAACTTTATGTATGTATGTATTTATTTATTTCATTATGGACCCATTTGATTCCTGTTTGATTCAATGGGTTGTAATCTGGTATTCTCATTTTATTTTGATGCTCAAATATTCCCCGTTTTGACCAGTGGGAGTCTATTTATATCAGCTTGTGTATTCTTTTGATGTGTTCCCATTATTCTGTGAGAATTTTCTTATTTTCTGTCACAACAAGATTTTCTGGTCTTATCTTGCACTTTTCCTGCTTCAACCCTGGAATCAGCCATTTTTCCAAGGAGCCCTTTAGTGGACTTCCAGTTAGTGAGGGATAGTACTTAGTACCAAGATCTGAGCACACAGTATTTTCATTGCTACTGGGATATCATTGCTTCTAGGACCTTTCAGCAGACAGAAGTAGGAAATATATGTACCTATATGTGTACACAAGCATCTGTAACCCTTCCTGTGTATGTATATTTTTTAAAAATGAGTTCATACTAATACTTCTAATTCCAGTCCAACATCTTAGGGTTCTTTCTCAGACAGTGAGAAAATCCATTCTCAGATAGTGAGAAACCTCCCTCCAGTTATTTTAGATATGTTTAACCGTTTGCTCAATTGATTAATGTATTTATTCCGTGTACCACTCAGGCTGCCTCTTCCATCTACCGTTTTGTTCTCCCTCCCACAGCCCCATTTCCTTGGCAGCCTGGGCATGCTGCCACCTCCACTGGACAGCCCCCTCTCCTGCACCATCCCATTTCCTTGGTTACCAGTCACACCCTTGCCACAGATGCTGACACACAAAACTCCATCTGCCTCCTTGCTCTGCTTCCTTGGAAGGTGACATCTCTTTGTTGGGAGGGGTAGGGAAGGAAGAATGGGAAGGAAAGGTAAGAAGCCAGACTACAGATAGGCAGTTAGCAGACAGAGCTGCTAGTAGATGGAATATAAAGAGTGAGGGAAGAGAAGTAAACAGTGACTGCAAGGTGTTTGGCCTGAGCTACTGGGAGAATTGAATTGTCCTTAACTGAGATGAGGACAGAACAGTAGGAGGTTTGGTGGGGATGATCAGAAGCTCAGTTTTGGATGTGTTAAATTTGAGATATCCAAGAGGAGATGTCCAAGAGAAGATGTAGAATACTCAGCGTGTGTACATGCCTCTTGAGGTGTGGGCTGGAGATGTGTACTTGGGAATCCTTGGCATTTAGATGCTATTTAAAGACATGCACTCAGCTGAGATCACAAAGGGAGTGGAATAGATAGAAAAGTTTATGCTGAGCCCAGGGACAATTTCGTGTTAGAGAGATGAGGAGGAACCGGCAAGGTAAGGTCAACTAGGGAGGCAGGAGGAAACCTAAGGGAGTGTAGTAATTTGAAAGCCAAGTGAAGCAAATGCTTCAATTAATGTGAAAGGATCACCTCTGTCAAATGCTGCTGCTAGGTCAAGTAAGCTGAGGACCATGAGTCTGCCCTTGACCTTGGTGACGTTGGTAATTGTGGTGTGTATGTGGGAGGGAGCTTGAGTAAGTTCAAGAAAGAATGGGAGAAAAGAAATGAGAGACAGCAGGTATAGACAACTCTTTCAAGGAGTTTCAGCCTATGTATGAGGTCCAGAGCCATAGATAAATGATAAATAGTTATCTATTTATGTGTTCTCTGGCCCTGCAGCTGAGTTTAAGCTAGTCCTTTTCTGCGAATTGTATAAATAACCTTTCATTATTACTACACACAAAATTTTTGCTATGTATTATTTTATTTTAGGTTGGTGAAGTATTTCTGTCATTGGCTGAGTTAATAATAGACGGGCAGTGTAGTTTCTATATATGTGAAATGAAGAAATCACCAGAGCAGGTTCAGTGTTACAGTTCAGCAGTTACAGGGGTACAAAGGCAAACTTAGATTTGGAAAACTCCTCAAGGTTCTCGAAGTTCTGAAAATGTTAGAGAAAATAGATACTTACAGATTGTACACTAATCAGCCTTCTTTGGCCTTGTCAGCATTTCATCCTCTCTACAGAAAGTTTCAGCCTAGTTTATTGAAGAATATTTTCTGTGTCCATAAATTTCTTCATTTATAATGAAATCTTATTAGGAAATTGGAATAGTTAGATTTGCTGAAATAAATTCAGTGGTTTAGGTGAATGAGTCTTTTATCGTTTAGTTGGAAAATTGGTTGTACCCTTAACCTGAGGCCTGGATGGCAAATACACAGTATATGTGCTGTCATATTTCTCTCCTGTCATTGCGACTGATCAGCCACATTACTCTTTTGTGCTGAGCTCAGATGTAGCCTCAGAATTTGTGTTAGTAATGTTCCAGAAAGTCACTACCAATGAGTCTAATGTGACATGACGTAAAACCTGTTTTTTAATCTTGGTGTAAGGATTTAGTTCACAAGATAAAAATTATGTGGAAAACAACACATAAATTAGAAACCAGCTTTGATTGGTTGTTATTCACACTGCTAGAGTTTCTCAGTAAAGTAATGGCTAATAAGAAACGCTAATAGAGCTGACATAGGGGTACAGTGCTTATTCTTTTGTCAAAACATTGAATTGACAGTTAATCTCTATGTTTTGCTTTTGTCCAAAGACTCGACTCTATTTGCTGAACTTGGCTATTTCACGGACACTGATGACCTGCAATTGGATGCAGCAAATGAAACTTATGTAAGTATTTACTAAAGGAGAAATACTGAATAATGTGATATTTAATCTTTACCCTAATTATTGCAAGAAGGTTTCAGGATAACAGGTTTAGGCTAGTCATTTAGGTTTAAATAACTTTTAGCATTAAGTATGAAAGTTAGTAGCCATTTTGTAGTCAGTAAATTTAGGATTATAGAAATTGGGTCTTGGTGTGAAAAAACTTATATTCTAAGGCCACCTTTGGCCTCGGGTGGGTGACCTTGGAAAAGTCACTTAACTGCCTACTTCTTAGTTTGTGTAGCCACTTTGCTGCATAAGGGAAATGGTGATGTTAAGGGGTGTATGTGAGTCACAGACCCAGTCAGGTGGAACTTACTAACTTCCTTTTTAGAAGTTACATATCCTTAGGGTAGAAAGCTCTGAAACTTAGATTTGTCCTTATTTTTTGCCTTTGAACAGTTAGAAGTCTCTGTAAAAGCTATTATTATAGCACTCTGAGTCCTCAAAAATATCTTATATTTTCCTTTCTGCATTAGTACATACGTATGAGTACATAGTATATTGGCATATAGAACTTATTTTGTCTTATTCTTTAATGGATGAGGTGCTGTTTCACTTGGGAGGTAATTCAAGTGAACAGAGTGCTTTTATATGCACATCAATCAGGCTGAATATTTATCGCTTATTTTTTAAGCCCTTATTAACCTGAGTATAAAAATATATAATGCTTGCTTGGTGAGTTTTTCAGACATTTCTCAAAGAACAGTTTAGCACTTATTTTACTATGAATCAATAGAAGAGAGTAAAAACACGTGATGTATTTTTTTTATCAGTGCATGAGATCTTCATGGTTTTTGTTTACTTTGTGAGATGCTTTAGAATGGGGTCTGTTGATTAAATTGGCTTTTATTCTTGGCTGGTTGCCTAAGCAACTGATATTCTTTTACAGTCTCTACAGCCTGAAACCATCAAGAAACGGTGTAGTAAATTTGAAAGACTCAGGAAAATATGAGCCTGATTTTGTAACTAACATTCTTATCTTAACGCAAGTCACCCAGTTGTTCATTTCCTTAGTTTTTCTAGAATACAATGAATGGATTGGATTAGGTGGTTTCTGAGGGCCCTTTCTAGCTTTAAAATTGTGTCATTCTTCTTCCACACAGCAGTAGAGTTTCCCATGAGAAGTCATTGAAGAGCCAGAGTATATAAGTAGCAATATGTTTCACTTTACATAAAATGGGCCTGTTAAATTTCCACCCAGATAGAATCCTTATGCTATAAAAGATATTTGACATTTTGGGCTGAAGACTGAGTGAGAAGCACCCCTAAAGTAGGTCATGCCCCCTGTTGCACGTGTTCAAGTACTGCCAGCACTCAGGCAAGGCTCAGTGCTCGATTTACCGAGGCTGAGAAAGTTTAAGGATGTTTTGGTTGCTGAAAGTACAGGGCTGCTTAATTTTTTGATATGTAGATTCAAATAAGAGAAGAAAAGCAAAGGACATTGATTTGCACAGTGTTTCCTTCATGATTTAAGTAGTTTCTTCTTTTTTTTTATGTGAACTTCTACACATTCTCTTTTTATAACTTGCAGCAGTTTTTACTCACTTAAGGGAAGTTTCCCTTCTCTCCTGCAGTTACATTCTCTGTAAAAATAAATGACACAGTAGACATTTTGAACTGATAATGTTATTCTGGAAATTATTACCAAATAGTTGTTAATAATTACTAGATTAATCTTTACTTTTTGCCTAAGGCTTGCTTGCTTTCTTGTTGATGTTCTGTTATCTGTTATGTTAAGTTGATACTGACTGCCTTTTGACTTTGTTGTACTGTTTATATATTAAGTTTACTTCCGTTCTTGTCTCCATAACTCCAGGTGCTTAAAATAATAGTTGGTAGCATCTTGATCTCAGACTCATGTGAGGGCTCTGAAATCTTGTGGCAGTTCTTTATGTATGTATATAGTGTAAGATAGTCATTGAGATGATCCAGAATATGCTTATATTTAAGTAAAAAAAATTTACCATCTAAATAAAAAGAAAGTAAGTGTTCCTCTAAAAGGTTTGTTGACCCTGTTTGAGAAACTTAGTTTTCTTCTAGGATTAAACAAATTTTAGAAATTTTACTTTAGAGATTTGTAAAGTACAGAACAGTAGAAAAAAGAAGAAAATTACCCATCTTCCTATGGATCTCTTCCTTCTCGCATAACCATTTTAATATTTGGTCTATTTGAAGGTTCAGTTAAAGTCTCTTTATGATTCCTGCATCTCTTTAGGATACATCTATATTCTTTCTGTTGTGTAGAGAGATGATGTTGTAAATACACATTTGCTTTGACCTGTTTTCCTTACTGGCAATGGGAAAACTTATTTTGCTGGATCTCCCTTAAAAAGATGTATTTTGTGACTCTTGTAATGATCTGTTCCCATTGGAAAGAATGAGACCAACTGAATCTTCTAGATGTTGAATCCATTACCTCCTTCCTAGTTGTTACTGTCATGCTTCATGTAACTGAATTGGTTTATCTCTGTGCTATCCAAGATGTATTCTCAAGATGAACAAATTGACTTAGAAAATTATTTTTGCTAAGTTGGGTAATAGTGGTTATATTATTTATTGCAAATTGTGTTCGACAGTTTGATTTCTAGATGTATATATTTTATTCTAATATTCTTTTGCTGATTTGAAACCTACAGGAGAACAATTTTGATAATCTTGACTTTGATTTGGATTTGATGCCTTGGGAAACAGGCATTTGGGACATCAACAACCAATTCTGTACAGGTAATGATGTATTTCTTTGGTAGAAACTTTAAACAGATCCGTTTTATTTTATAGTTTGATAATAGTCAAAATTAAGTGGGGTTACTGGGCTACTTTGATGAGTTAAAAAATTCCAGGAACTATATATTCTACTTCTGGTGTGGCACTGCATACATAAATTTCTTGTCAAAGTGGATATAAGGAATTTCATAGTTATGTTTTGGTCGCATAATAAATAAAGAATTTTTATCTGAAATACTGATTTTGAATTATATATAGTATCTGTTTAAGAGATTAACCTATCTGAGAACCAGACAGAACTTAGGGACTCAGAGGGAAGATGCTTGGGGTTCCCAGAACTTAGGAACTTGGTGTAGGGGTTCCATGCATTTGAAGTACATACTTCTGAGGAGGGGGCACTACCTGCCTGACACCGGTATCGTTAAGGGGGCCTGAGGAGGTGGGTTTTGGGTATGCTGAAAGAAGCTGGAACCTGGAGCAACTGTCACTTCTGCGATGAAGCTGATGGGAGGATGAAGAAAGCCCTGCTGCCCTTCTACTTTTTAGCATCCTTCTAGTATCCCCTATTGGCAGGAAACCAGCTGGAACATGTATTAATCATTTGCATCACAACTCTAGGAGGTGGACTTGGAGCCGAGAGACAGTGGGTAAACAACCAGCACATTCCCCGTCTGAATTGCAGTCCTCCCCACCTTGCACTTCCTAGTCCCCTCGTTTTATGTGTTTATAGATCTTGCCTGTCTTTCCTCATAGAATATGGGCTACGCAAGCCTGGTGTTCTGGTTACTATTGTTGTGTAACAAACTTCTCTAAAACTTAGTAGCTTAAAGCAACAATGATTTTATTGTACTCCTGGAATGTATGGGTCAGGAATTTGGACAGGCTGCACCATGAATGGCTCGTCTCTGCTCCATGAGGTCCAGACCTCAACTGGGAAGATTTGAAGGCTTGAGTAGCTTGACATTTGGGAGCTAGAATTATCTTAAGGTTTCTTCACTCACATGTCTGATTCCTGCTCTGGAGTGACTTGAAGACTAGGACTGCCGACTAGAATGCCTACACGTGGCCTTTCTGTCTGGCTTGGCTTCCTCACAGCATGGTGGTCTCATGGTAGTCAGACTTCGAAAGCTCAAATGTGAGTGTTCTAGCACGCAAAGTAGAAGCTGCATTGCCTAATGAAACTCAGCCTTAGAATTCGCATAGCATTTCTTCCATACTCTATTGATTGAAGAAGTCGTAAGCCCACCTAGATTCAGATGGAGGCGAAGTGGACTCTACTTCTTGATGAGGCAGTGGCAAGATCCCGTTACAGAGGATCATGAGGGATGGTAGACATTTTGCAGCTAACTTTGGAAAACACAGACTGCTGCAGAAGCGTTCCTTCCCCCATTCCTACCCTTTTATAAATTTGATACCTAGGAACACTGGCTGGGCTGTAGTTGCTCAATAAATTTTTATAAATTAATAGTTCAACAGATAAGAACATTTTTGTGAGTTTTAATGTCAAAAATGCTTTCCAAAATAATTCTTTTCTTTTTCTTATGTTTTAAAATTATTTTCTGGGGGGAATCTATAATGTTTTGCACATGGTATAATATTCAAAAGGTACAAAAGGTCTATAGAGTAGAGAAATGTTTCCTTCTGCTCTTGTTCCTCAGCCAGCAAATTCTGATCCCCAGAGACAACCACTGTTACCAATTTCTTATGTTTATTTTTCTAGAGAATTAGTGTAGATGTGAGTAGATATATATGTATACACATATATAATTACACAAATGGAAGCGTACTAGATACACTGTTTTCTGCATCTTGAATTTTCACTTCATGAAATATTCTGGTGACCTTAGCTTCTACATGATTGAATTTTAAGAGTAGATTTTACCTTCTTTCTTATTCATTTTGTCCTGAGTTTGTATTGTCCAGAGAGAAAGTTTTTACTCCATGTTTTTCAGTTAAAGATATTAAGGCAGAACCTCAGCCGCTTTCTCCAGCCTCCTCAAGTTGTTCAGTCTCATCTCCTCAGTCAGTGGACTCTTACTCTTCAACCCAGCATGTCCCTGTAAGTAACCAATCTTTTACAGTGATTTTGGTCATACTGCTATCTGGAAGATATGTATATGGGGGAGGCAGTTAACATCTATTAAGTTCTACCATGAGCCTTATTATCTCATTTAATCCAGAGGAAACTGAGTCCTGAGGAAGGGTCTTGGGGGAGCTAGAAAGTTGTTAGTCTTTTTGTTTTCGCCCTCCTTCCTCTGTGCTCTTGTCTTCATAATTTCGTTGTTTCATTATACTTTACCAGTATCCAATATTTTTTTTGTTTATTGGCTTCTTGTCTTTTCTCCCTGCTCCCCTCTCCACCCTCCCTATTAGAGTATTCTTTCTTTGAGGAGGTGGAAGACTGTAAGATGGTCTGTTTTGTAACTCTGTAGTCATGGAACTTAGAATGGCCTCCTTAGTTCAGGAATGCCTAGCACTACCTTTTGAATAGGTTTGTTCTCCATCCAGACAAAAGCTCTGAGGCCAGGAAAAGGAAGTACCAAAGGATTAAGATACTTTTTGGAACAAGAAAAGAGAAAATATAAGAAGAAAAATGCAAATTAACGTTTCAGTACATTATGTCTGCTGTGAATTTAGGTATCTTCATTCTGGGAGGCTCTACATCTAGTCAATTGCTAAATCCTGATGATTCTATCCATTTAATGTCTCTAGGGTTCATCTTCTCTGCCCCTGCTAGGGCATCATCATCTCACCTGGATTAAGTCAATAGGATTTTAACTGGTCTCTCTGCCTCCTACCTCCCTGAACCTTTCTTAGCAGGGGAATCTTCAGAGAGAAATCTTTCAAAATCATGAATTTGATTGTGTCAGTCTTTTGCTTAAAACCTTTTAATGACTTCCCAACTCTTACAAAGATGAAATTCAAATTCCCGGTGTACCAGGCCCTCCATGATCTGCTCCTACTCACCTTTCCAGTCTTGTTTCTCACTTTCCCTTCCTAACTTCGCACTCCCCTTAGCTTTCACTCTGCGAGAGTTCCTAACTGAGAGCTCTGATGCAGTCCACTCGTTCAACAACTGTGCTAAGCACTGTTCCAAACACTGGCAGTGAACAAGAGCAGCGAGATCTCTGCTACAATTTTAGGTTTTTGCACATGCTCTTCCTTCTGCTAGGAATAGCCCCATTCTTTTTCTCCCCTTGGAAAACTCCTATTCATCCTTTAAGTCTCAGTTCAAAGATTACTTCCTTTTGGAAGCTTTGCTCTGATTGTTACTATTGGAAGTTCTCTGCCGTCCTACAATTTCTCCAAACATTTTATTTTTTAAAATTTAATTTCCCCCTTTGCCAAAAATAAGTATTTTTTGAGGAAGTTCTTGAAAACTATCTAAAAATATCTTGTTTCTCATCAGACTTTAAATTTATTAATTTATTTGTTTATATCAGTTTGGACTCATGGTTTCCTATTTGACTCTGCAGGTTATAATCCATTACTGTAATTATTGATTCTGATTCTTATGTTGTCCTGGATTTGGCCAGTGCAAGTCCCTTCACGCTGAGTCCTGTGTTCTTTTAAGGTGCTCCATTGGGCTTTGACACCCTACATCAGGCTGACCCAGTGTGGATGCCCTTATCACCCTGCTCTGACTCCCCATGCCCATCTGACCTTCTCCCCCTACCACCCTTGAACACCCCCACTACCCGCCTTGGGATCTGACACTGCACCAGGCTGCCTCTCTGCATGTGTGCTGATCCTGCCCTGCCCCATCTAGTGGCTTTAGGATCAAATTATTCAGGAAGGAATATTTTCTAAGTGACTGTTAATACATTATTTTTCATAGGTTTTATTTTTAATGTTTACATCTCCGATCCATTTGAAATTATCCTGGTATATGATGTGAGATACAAATTCAATTTTTGTTTTCCTAAATGACTATCAAAAGGATTGTTGCAGTACCCTTTATTAAAAAGCTCATCTTTTTCTCACTGATTTCAATTTTGTGTATTTGTTTTAAATTTATGGGAATGGTATTATATTAGATGTCTTTTTGTGTTTCTTTTAAAAATCAGCACAATATTTTTTTTAATATCGACTCCTATTGCTCTGTATACATCAATCTGTTGCATCTAACTGCACAACGCTTGAAGTATATGTTTAGTATGTTTTACCTCCACTGCAGTGAATGTTGTCAGAATGTCCCTTTGTGGGCCCGTGTGAGAATTCCTTTGGGATGTTATGCCTAGGAGGGAATTGCTGGGCGTGTACGGATGCTCAGTTCGACGAGTCCTGCATGTTGCTCTCCCGGATGGCTGTGGTAGTCTGCGGTCCCGTCAGCAGTGCTTGAGGATCCTTGTAACTTCTCTTCTCTGCTAACGCTTGGCATTACCTGGCTTTCTAATTGTTGCCAGAAGGTGTAAAGTGTTTTCTGTTGTTTGTTTTGTTTTAATTTGTATGTCTTTGCTTACTGATTGTTTTCAACCTTTCTTTTCATGTTTATTGGGTTCTTGGGTGTTTTTCTTCTGTCGTTTATTCCTATCCTTCACCAGTTTTTCTACTGAGTTTTTATCTTTTCCTTATTTATTTGCAGGAATTCCTTGTGTATTTGAGATATTAAACTCTTGTTTGGTTTAGACAGTGTGTATATCTTATTCCTTCCTGTTATTTGTCTACTAACTTTGTAGTCTTAATTGAGTAGACTGTCTTAATTTTGAATTAGATTCGTCTTCTTTTTCTTTACTTTTGGTTTATTTTTGAAGTTTTACTTAAGAAGTCCTTCTCTACTTGCAGGCAACAAAGATATTCTCCTGCGTTTTCTTCCAGTAACTATATGGTTTACCTTTCACATTTAGATGTCTTAATACCTTTAGAGTTGACCTTAATATGTGGTGTTAAGTAGGAGTCTAGTTTTAATTTTCTCTGTGTTTATGAACCAGTTTTCCCAATTGTATCACCTTTATAATTATTCTGTTAAAGAATATTATATATCTCTGTTACTCAAATTTTCTGTTATGCTTCTGAGTTTTCTTCATATAAGTCCTGGCATTTCTTAGAAAATTCATTCCTAGGTATTTTATAATTGTTATTAGAATTGTGAGCAAACTTTTTTTTTTATCTTCTGTGTGGTTATTAATACAGTATCTTCATAGTGAAATATTTTTTCAGTTGGGTTTCTTATATGTGTTCCAAGCAGACAGCATATCACTTTGCAGACAAAGGCACTTCTACTATTTATTCCTTTTATTTTATTTTCTAGTATAATTATGTTTGCTAGCATTACAGGAGAAAGAATTATTGTTCCTTGGCTTGACTTTAATGGTAATACATTTAGTATTTCACCATGAAGTATGACATTGGCTATATAATTATGCATAGCTTTTTTTAATGTTAAGGAAGCATCTCTCTAATCCTTGTTTTCTTGGACTTTTATGAGGAATATTCACTGCATTTTATCAGATACCTTTTAAGCATCAAAGGCCATGAAGATAATAGTTTCCTCCTGTGTTATCTTGTACTCTTTGTTTTTTCCCAAATATATTTATAATTTATCTCATATATACTTTAGAGTTATATAGTATATAATATATAAAATAATTTATATATATGTAATATTCTCTGTAAGATTCATATAACATAGCTTATGGCTACATGCTGAGTAGGTGTTAAGGATGAAGGAATGAAGCAGTTATTCTCACCAGCATGACAGAGAGTGACCATTTCTCCCCTATTCTCTCTAGGTCATTGAAATTTTTTCTTTTCTGATGATCAAAAAAAAAATATTTTCTAGGGGCTGACCTGGTGGTGTAGTAAAGTTCATGTGCTCTGCTTCAGTGGCTCAGGGTTCACAGGTTCGGATCCCAGGCGTGGACCTAGCACTGCTTGTCAAGCCACGCTGTGGTGGCATCACACATAAAGTAGAGGAAGATTGGCACAATGTTAGCCCAATGACAATCTCCCTCAAGCAAAAAGCAGAAGATTGGCAACAGATGTTAGCTCAGGGCCAGTCTTCCTCACCAAAAAGAAAAATAAAATAAAAAGAAAAATTTTCTTTTAAAATTGCCTTTGGCTATCATTTGCTATTTCCTTCAGTGAAGTGGCTGTTCCTGTTCTTTGCCCAATTTTGACAAATATTTTCTTCCAATATGTATCTTTTAACTTTGGTCTGTTTTTCATTATAAAGTATTTTTAATTATTTGTTCAAATCTATTTCTTTTTCCCTTATGGCTTCTGGATTTTTTGACTTAAGGAGGCCTACATCATACTGAGAGTAACAACTGTTCTCTTAACTTTTCTTTTAATACTCTTATAGGTTATTTTGAAGATAGTATGACGTGTGTATGTATGCTTATTCAATTATTATAAGTAACGTCTTTTTGTCTTGGAATTAAAATGTGAGCTTTACCTTATGTTAAGTTTCTTTATGCTAGCAAAATGAGACAGATCCACTGAATATTAAACGACTTTTGGAAAATATTAATATTATCTTTATGTATATATCTATCTCTCTGTAGTGTCAATTCACGCATGAAAGAAAATAGCCCTGGTACTTTCAGTGTTTTTCTTTCAAAACATTTGGGACAAAGGCAGTGTTAATAAATAGAAAAGGATAAAAATAGTAAGAATTATTTGCTTTTGAGATTCTCATAAGACTGAATAAGAGATCATGGGGAAAGGATATTGGCATTTCAACTGTAGCCTTAACACTGAATGTTTGTATGACTAGGAATCAAGTAAAATATAAAGTTTGTGGAAGGAAATGTAGAAGCAGATCAGATCAGTGATCCATATCTTTAATACACGAGGATGACATAGACATACTTTGCATTTTGGGTTATTTTTTCCTTTAGTGTTGATGGATAGTGTTGATTTAGCGATAGTCTCAGTGCTTATATATAGTTTCTGATACACCACATCTTTGCTTTGAAGTGGTCTTGAAGTGTTTCTCTGTTTATATATGGATCTCGCCTCTCTTTCTAAGCAGTTTTCTGCTCAAGGATTGTATTCTTCTGCATGCATTTGTTTGTGTTTTGTTTTGCTGCAGGAGGAGTTGGATTTGTCTTCTACTTCCCAGATGTCTCCCCTTTCATTGTATGGTGAAAACTCTAATAGTCCCTCCTCAGCAGAGCCACTGAAGGAAGATAAGCCCATTGTTGGTCCTAGGAACAAAACTGGTATTACTCCATCTCCTAACTTCTGTTATTTCTGTTCTAGACTGAGCTTTGGTTCCATTTCTTAAAAGAAAATGTTGGATTAAATGTATGTTTATTAAGCTGGCTTACTATTTTTAAATTAGTGGATCTATTTTGTTTGTTATGGATGATTAATGTGGAAAGGAAATGGAAGAAATAATCTTTGGTTGCCTTTGTCTTTATAGGTGAAAACTACTTTAAAATTGACTCAGGCCCTCATCATCTTCAGCAGAGATTTCAAAGTTTCAGTTAAAGATATTGAATGTGTGGGCCATTTGGCTGTGACATTTGTTACTTCGTTACCTCATTAATCTCTAGGCTTTACTCACTGATTTTAGTTATTCTCTTTACCAGCTCATGTGTCTCATTCCCAAAGCTGCAGCTTGGTCAAAAAGGAAGACCTCAGATTAAGGACTTTTCTTCAGTTCATTAAGATATAGAGTAGCTATGCTTAAACTCCAGTTAAAGATAGTTACTCAGAGGTGAAGATAATGTGTAGAGAAAGGTATATGATAGAATCTGTTTTCTGTGGGGCCAGCCCTGTGGCTCAGTGGTTAAGTTCAAGTGCTCTGCTTTGGTGGCCCAGGGTTTTAGCTGTTTGGATCCTGGGCACGGACATGGCATCGCTCATCAGGCCATGCTGAGGCGGCATCCCACATAGCACAACCAGAGGCACTCACAACTGGAATATACAACTATGTACTGGGGGCGGTTTGGGGAGGAGAAGGAAAAAAAAAAGAAAAAAGAATCTGTTTTCTAGGATTTGCTTAATTGCCTTCAGATTAATTTATGGTTTGTTTGGTTTTTCTCCAGAAAATGGACTGACTCCAAAGAAAAAAATTCAGATGAATTCAAAACCTTCAATTCAACCCAAGCCTTTATTACTTCCAGCAGCACCCAAGACCCAAACAAACTCCAGCGTGCCAGCGAAAACCATCATTATTCAGACACTACCAACACTCATGCCATTGGCAAAGCAGCAACCAATTATCAGTATACATCCTGCACCTGCTAAAGGTACCTAAGGGAAATCTGAGGCTGCGTATCTTTAATTGGAGGGCACTGAGGCTTGTCATATGATGTGTTTTAAATCAGGTTATAATTTTGAAGCACTTGCTGTGTGTCAGGAATTGTCCTTGGTTCTGAGGATATTGCAGAGTTGACTAATATGTGGTTCCTGTCCTAACAAGGGAGATGGCTATCTGGATCAGTTACATCTAATACTTTTTTTTTTCAGTATTAATTATGAAAACACCTGTCTCTAAAGCTTGTGGTTTTATATAACCACTTGTAATGAAGAAGAAAATCTGGGAAACTTTCTTGGTGACATTTTATTCTGAGATTTTTGTGTTTATGAACTTTTTTGTTTTTAAGGAGAGGTCAGTATTGAAAATAATATGGTTCATTTCAGGTCTAATAAGGGTGTTTTGGCAATAGAATCAGGCTCTTAATCCCTGAGGAGGTGGCACGATTTGTAAACATAATCTTGTACAGGGCCTTAGGAAGAGACCTGAATTGTCTTCAACTAGTTAAGAATGTGTGTGTTTCTATATATTAGCCACCAGATGGCCTCACTTACTTGATTCTACAAGAGCTTGAGGTCAGTATTCAAAGAAGTTCAAGTTTGAGGATTTTGTACTATTCAGATATAGGAATCATTTGCACATAGAGATCTCTTAGGCAGATTATTCGTCATTGTGCTCATCCTGATAGGTGTACACATGAGTAAAGGAAAACCTGTGCAGCATTCTTTCCCTGGATTTAGCTTGTTGGCACCAAGTAGGACTAGGTGTTAATGGGGTATGGGTTGTAAATAAACACCAACAATTACATTTGCTTTTATGACTGTATTTCTAGCTATGGATTGTTAGCTCATTTCTTTGGAGCATGGTTTTAATGAGGACAAGGTCATCAGTTTGATTTCCAGGTACTCTGTTAGCTTTGTTCTATTCCGTGTTCATAGACAATATGACACTGATGAAAAGAAGAACTAGGTGAGAGACTGGATGGATCAGTGAAAATCCATTAGTCAATCCCTACCAAACAAACCAACCTGAAATTCCTGCCCTCTCCATACAGGGTCAAAACTGCTGCCTTTTTCATGGAAAAATAGCAGTCCTGTTGAATGGATATTCTTGTGGTCTGTGAATGGATGTTAAGTGTTCATGAACTCCTTGAAATAAGATGCGAGATTTAGTGTATGTTCATATGTAGATTTTTGTAAGGATAGTCTCTAAAACTTTCATCAGAATCTCAAAAGGGTCTATGTTTTCCCAAAAGCTAAAAATTTAAACTTGTGAAGAACGTCATTATAGTTCTCATAAGCTATTAAAACACATGTATAAAAAGTGAAAGTCTGACATTAGTAAGATTAGTGTGTAAAGCAAGAGGTATTCCTAAATTATTTAGAACTTTAGTGCTTTCCCATTATCTGAAGATAGTACTTATTTAGGGGGAGCATATGCTAATACAAGGCACTTGTCTGTTTTTATAGTACAATCTAGAGAGGTTATTATAACGTATAGATTTAAGTGTATGTCTTCGTGGCCGGCCCCGTTGCTGAGTGGTTAAGTTTGTGCGCTCTGCTGCGGCGGTCCAGGGTTTCACTGGTTTGGATCCTGGCCGTGGACATAGTGCCGCTTGTCAGGCCACGTTGAAGCCATGTCCCACATGCCACAACTAGAAGGACCTGCAACTAAGATATACAACTCTGTGCCGGGGGGATTTGGGGAGATAAAGCAAGAAAGAAAAAAAAAAAAGATTGGCAACAGTTGTTATCTCATGTGCCAATCTTTAAAAAAAAAAGTGTATGTCTTCCACTTACTTGAGAATGGAGAGGGAGGAAGATGGCAAATATAAGACATGCAATTTACAGGTAATTGATGTACGTATCAGTAGTAAATATTTGACCATTAAAAAAGAAGTAGTAATTCTTATAGGATTAAATTCAAATTCTCCAGCTTAGAATGTAAAACCCATCGTAGTTTGGCTCAGTTTAGTATTCTAAAGTTTATATTATTATTATCTCTCCTTTCTAGAAACCCCTACTTGTAGCCCAACTAATCTGGCCATTGTTCCTTGAATTCTCTTGTTTTTCCTAGTTTCTTGGCTTATATCATTCTAACTGCCTGAAATAACTTCTGCCTACTTCTCCATCTAAATCTTATACATCTGTTAAGACTGTTATGAATAGTGCAGGTGAGAGATGTTGAAAGCCTGGAATATCAGTGAAAATGGAGACTAGGATAGAGAGTAGAGATGTTAAAAAGCGTGGAGTCAGAGGACTTGGTACTTGGATGTTGTGGAAGTGGGGTAGAGGATAGAGAGGAAGGTATCCTGTCTTGGGCTTTTTGGGTAGATGATAGTGCAAATCGTTGAAATGGAGTATAGAGGTAAAATAACCTGCCCCAGGTTGTTCTGCTAGTGAGAGGTGGGGGGTCAGAACTTGAGCCCAGGTGGTCTGGCTCAGAGTCTATGTAATTAATCACTGTGCTGTATTGCCTCTAAAAGAATGCTGAGATGTGGTCCTTGATCTCAAGAATTCTGCTGTCTAATTGGGGAGTTTACAGATTTACATAGTTAAATAACAGTAACTATGAGAACTAATGATTTAATAATACATGCAAAGCCTTTATGGAAGCTATTATTATACAGAAGAGATTAATTATAATGATAGTAGTAAATAATGGCTAGCATTTAAGTTCTTTCTGTGTGCCCGACCCTGTTCTAAGTGCTTAAGTGTGTTATCTTATTTAATCCTTACATCAACTCTGTGAGGACAGGTGCTATTATTATCTCCATTTTATAGATGAGAAAATTAAACACAGAGAAATTATTTACCCAAAGTCACACAGTTACACTATTTTAGACACAGTAGGCATTCCATAAATAGTTGAGACAGAGTTGGAAACCTTTGAAGAAAATTCGAAAGGAAGAGCTGACTCCCACAGTCAGTGCGTCGTACACAGTCAGAAGTGTCCAGTGTTGAATCCAGCCGTGTTCCATGAAGGGGGAGTTGCATGTAATGCCAAAGAGGATTTTGAGCGTGCTGAAATGGATAAACAGCTGTTTAGTATGTCCTTTTTAACCGTTTCCACACCAAGAACAGTAGTGACTCTGTTCAGCTGCTAGCTATTGAAGGTCCCAAACAGTCCTTTGCGTGGTATTTTGTGATCTGGTGAGGGTCTAGCAGGTTGGTGTTGAGCAAATTGCCATGAAAGTTTCTGGTTCTTTTTCTTGAACATTGTAGTGGAACTTTAGTTGTTTCTCCTCATTCTGTCTTGAACCCAAACGTACCTAGAATATTTAGAGGATCTTTGATTTAGATGCTGGATAATTTGAGGATAGTGGGGCACTCTGGTGTGAGAGGCTTGGTGTGCATCAGGGAACAAAAGGAGACAACAGTGGTCTGGTAGGACTTGGAGCCATGTTTGGTGAAAAGACCTTGCCTCGGTGTTGGTCCATCTTCCTCCCTCGGTGATGCAGTTCTCTCCGCAGTGAGATGGTGATAACTGAACAACAGATAATACAGACTTGGTTTATTTTTCTGAATTAGGTTTTTTTTTTTATGAGGACGATTGGCCCTGAGCTAACATGTGCTGCCAATCCTCCTCTTTTTGCTGAGGAAGACTGGCCCTGAGCTAACATCCATGCCCATCTTCCTCTGCTTTGTATGTGTGATGCCTACCACAGCATGGCTTGCTAAGCAGTGCCATGTCTGCACCTGGGATCCAAACTGGCAAACCCCGGGCCGCCGAAGTGGAACGTGCGAACTTAACTGCTGTGCCACTGGGCCAGCCCCTAAATCTTCCACTTTTTGCTTGAGGAAGATTGTTGCTGAGCTAACATCTGGGCCAGTCTTCCTCTGTTTTATGTGGGATGCTGCCCCAGTGTAGCTTGACGAGTGGTGCCAGGTGCATGCCCAGGATCCAAACCTGCACACCCTTGACCGCTGAAGTGGAGTGTGTGAACTTAACCACTATGCCACTGGGCCGGCCCCATCTAAATTAGTTTTAAAAAATCATTACAAGGCATCTGTATATGTTACCTGCCAATGCTTTAAATTTGTAACTGGAGCTAGAAGTAGGATCCTTTATTTGACGTGACTTAATTCTTTATGTTTACCACCTCCTCCATTCTTTGGAATAGTCCCCAAATTCATTGAACAGTGTTTAGGGTTTTTTGGGGCCTTTTTATTGTAATTTTTAAACTTAGGAGATGTGGAACACTACTTCTGATAATGCTCTTCTCAAAGTATGGGTTTAAGTCAGTGGTTCTCAGCCTGTAGACTGTGGACCTGGGGCATGGGTGGTGGGAGTAGGAGCCTTGGGCATTTTGTAAGGCATCTGCAAATCCATATTTGTGGCAAGCATTTTCTCTAGACTGAATAATTTGTTTCATATATCTTTGTGCTACTGTTTTTCCAGTTTTATGGCTATACTTCTGATTAATAATCTACAAATTCATTTAAAATCATTACCAAATTTTTTTTTTAAAGATTTTATTTTTCCTTTTTCTCCCTAAAGCTCCCTGTAGATAGCTGTGTATTTTTGGTTGTGGGTCCTTCTAGTTGTGGCATGTGGGGTGCCACCTCAGCATGGCCTGATGAGCGGTGCCATGTCCGTGCCCAGGATTTGAACCATTGAAACCCCGGGCCGCCGAAGTGGAGTGTGCAAACTTAACCACTTGGCCACAGGGCCAGCCCCAATTACTAAATTCTTAATAGCATTTTCTCATCATGTATTTTCTCAACCCACAGAAATTGAAAGGACAATCATGATTATCTTGGATGACCATGGTATTTTTTGATATTAACTTATATTCAGGGTGGGAACCCTTGATTTAAGTTTTACATGATGATGAGTATGTCTTTTCATAGTACCAGAGTCACTGTAATTTCTTAATAAGTGTTATTAAAAAACATAACACTTGGTCCTATGCTATTTGTTTTATTTATTAGTTATTCTCATTTGCATATATGGCCTAAGCGCATTTGTATCTGCTAATGAGTCATTTCCTCACTTTTTATGTTTTTATTTCATAAAAGAAGTTATTCTAAGGGAAAATGAGAAGATAAAAATGTTTAGTGATCATTAATGCCCAAGTAAATTGTACATATTACAAGTCTATGAAATTATTTTTTGATCTTTTTTACTAATTTATAATTTGTCTTGGATAAAGTACTACTAATTAAATTCTGTTACTTTTAGTATGCTTTTTGAGGCCATCTAAAACATAAAGACTTTGAGTTTATAGAAATGTGACAAACAGATGTTCTTAACAAACAGGTGTTCTGAACCATTATTTGGTTTTTAGTTTTCCTTGATCCTTTGAAATACTGAGCTGAGTTTTACATGGGTCATGTTACATTGTCTGAAAGTATAATGCTTTTTTTTACCTTAAAGAAGAGTTATAAATATATATGAAGTTTTAGTTGCTGGTTACTGTAGTGCCTTTATTCTGCTAGATAGGCTGAAGCAGCTGTGGATGTTAGTCAAGACTTTCAGCACCTTATTAAATTGGCCAGATCTGAAAGGAAACACTCAGTAAGCAAGTAAAATTTTTAGTAGACCAGTGTTATGAATTTCATGAGTCTTCTTTAGGTTAGTGATAGTAACTCTTCTCAGATTAGCGTAATTTTAAAGTAATGTTAAATGTGAAGATTAAGGAAAGATTCTTAGGCCATTGGCGGGGGAGGGGAGTTGGTATTATCTACAGTCTACTTTAAATTACAGACTTACGTTTCCTGTATTTGTAGCTACAAACTCATCTCACATGTTTTTAACATTTTTGATATTCGTAGCCTCTTGTTCTTCTAGATAGTGAGTTACTAAATCTCCGTGTATTTTTGGTGTTGTGTGTATTTCCAAATCTTACTAATTTAAGATATGTGGTTCTTTGTGTTCAGTATAAAAGGTTTGTTATTTATAATATGAAGAATCCTTTTAGCCCTAATAAATTTCAGAGGTTAATACTTGGAGAAACCATTGCAAATTTGATATGCGAAAAAAATATGAAAATATATAGTTAATGATAACGTCAAAGGACATGAATTCGGTTGGTTTCATTAAAAACACAACAACAAAAGACACCATGAGTTTGTGCTACTCTTGAGAGTTAATTGGTGGTTTCAAATCCCTCGATGTGGTCTTACCTGTTAGATCTGCAGAAGACACCTAAGTGTTCAGCAGCTTCCCCTGCCGGAGCAGTTACGCACCTGCTGATTCCTTTTCTTTTTGCTCTGCTGCAGGTCAGACCGTAGTGCTTTCTCAGCCTGCTGTGGTACAACTTCAGGCGCCTGGCGTTCTGCCCTCTCCGCAGCCCGTCCTCACTGTCACTGGGGGAGCCGCACAGCTACCTAATCACGTGGTGAATGTGGTACCCACTCCTGTGGCGAATAGCCCAGTGAATGGAAAACTGTCTGTGACTAAACCTGTTCTACAAAGTACCATGAGAAGTGTGGGCTCGGATGTAAGTTTTAAACCTTCATGCTTTTTTAGTGCCTGATTGAAAAACAGTGTGTTTTGTTTTTGTTGCCTTGTTTTTGTTTCTTAAAGTTTGTTATATTGTGTCAGATGTGCTGAAATTATACATCCAATCTTTGGTGGAAAATTGGGGTAAGGCTGATTATGTTAGAATCTAAGTGAAAAGGTTTTTAAAAATCTGAAGTGGTTTGAGGAAAAGAGAAGTCTGCATACCTCTCTCTTCTTTAACTCCTTCTTTGGAACTCTCACCACCTACCTCAAGCCCCTCTCCCCAAGCCCAATCATATACTAGTATTTTACAGGATTCTCTCATGTTTTCTGATTGAAATATTTTTGGCAACTCCCTAGATAAGGGTCTGTAGACTACTTTTTAGTCAGGGTTTATATTTAGCTTCTGTCTTGACTTATTGAAGGGTTTCCACCACTGCATAATGATGACTTGCTACTCTTAAGAATTCTCTCTCTTAATGATTTTTTGGTGTTTTCCCATCTGTGAAAACCTTCACATTTTCTAGCATGTTGTAGGGATTTTTTGTAATTTATAAATCACAGAAAGTTTCCTAAGATCTGTTATTTCCTAAAACCAGTTATAGCACTTGCCAGCTAACTCTTGCTTTCTTCAGAAGTGATACAAAATACCTCATGTTATGTATTAAACAGGAATTGAACATCATGGGCCTAAAGTTTAATGAAATAACCAGTCTAACAGTGGATTCTCCAAAATTGTGATTGGGAAAGCAAACTCTATATGTTTTCTTTAAAATAAAAGTGTATGTTACTGGTTGTTAATATTGCTATTCCCCCTTTTCTTTAGGTGGCATACTACCTGCTTTAGTACTTTTAAAATCCTGTGAGTTATGTAAGGTTGTTTATCAAACTACTGACTAATCTGTCTACCAGAATTTATTAACTGCCACATCAGTAGCCCATTTAGTTGTGAAATTGCTCCTCTGTTGCATAAACATAACCAAGTGATCTCAATCAGCAGTATATTAAAGACCCATAACAAAGCAATGTTATCTAATGAAACTAGAATGTTGAAGTTCTACAATAATTTCCATAGTTTGTATAGGCATTGAAAACAGTGCATGTCAAGACATGAAGGAGGAAGATTAATGTTGTGTGAAAATAGACATGGATAGTGCAGGATTAGGCTTGACTATTATATTAGTTTATTTTGAGGACTAGAAAAGGTAAGCACAGTGCTTATGGCATAGTAGGCACTAATACACAGTATGCATTGCGCTTGAAGATGAAATGATATGATGCTGGGATTTGCTTTAAAATACTCTACGGGGAGGTGATGAGGACAGGATACAGGAACAAAATTGGCAAAATGTTGACAATCATTGAAGTTGGGTGTGTAATCTTCCCTTTTGGTGTTTGGGAAAATTTCTATAATAAGTAAATGAACAACAATAACGAAAATGTAAAAATATTCCATGATGTTTTCCATTAAAGAGTTGTACAACTTGGGGCCAGCCCAGTGGTATAGTGGTTAAGTTTGTGTGTTCTACTTCAGTGGCTCGGGGTTCACAGGTTCAGATCCCGGGCACAGACCTACACACTGTTCATCAAGCCATGCTGTGATGGTGTCCCACATACAAAATAGAGGAAGATTGGCACAGATGTTAGCTCAGCAACAATCTTCCTCAAGCAAAAAGCAGAAGATTGGCAACAGATGTTAGCTCAGGGTTGACCTTCCTCGCCATAAAAAAAAGTGGTACAGCCAATAAAAGAAAGAGTATACTTTTCATAGGAGACTGAGAAGGTTAAGAATGATGAAAGAGGATTATTAAAATGCTCCCTTAAAATTTCCTTTTAATGCTCTTTAAATTATGAATTTGAATGTTTCTTCTGTAATACTCTCCAAATAGATCTAACAATAGAAAATATTCTAAATTGTCTTTGTATAATGTGTTAGGACATTTAAAATATTTATTATGAAATATTTTAGATATGAAAAAGGTAGTGACTAATTAGAACTTGTGAAAAAATATAGATCAACAGTATATCACAGTTATTAAAAATATTAACATAATCTTAGTCTACGTTCATGGAATTATAACATCCCATCATGGGACAGTCCAAAGGAACACAGCTAGGAAGGGGAGGATGTCTAGAAACCATGTTACAGGTAGAGGAATGGTTTAAAGGTTGGCATGATTCATTAAACTGAAGAAGAGAAGACTGGTTCCTTCTAATCCTAAGATTCTGTGATACAATCATTGTATTTGAAAACCAGAGGAGGCCTTTTGTTTTCTTGGCTTAATATCTGAATGATGAGCATCTTAATGTTGGCAATCATCATTGTATGCCACTGACCCATTTTGTAATCTCTAAACATTTCAATTAATTATTTGTTGGTCTGTTAGCCACATATCCTTTACAAGCTCTTTGGTGTGAAAGACCATGCCTGTTCTGCTTTTTCACTCTTAGGAGGGCTCTGTAACTTTGGTGAATAATTTACTGATGAAGTCTCCATCAACATTGAGGAACTGGAGGATGTGTGAGATGAGAAAGTATAGAACCAACAAGTATTCTCTTTTTTTAGCAATATTTATTTGCTAGCGTTCTTCCTACTTTTCAAGATTTAGAGTTGACAGTATTATAAAAGAAAGACTCAAGTATTGTATGTCTAGTGCAAGAGACCTAAAGACGATTAGAATAAATTTTGTAGTCAACCTGCATTGAGGTTTTTGTGCTTATTTTTCCTTGGCCAGTACATCAGGAAGTGAGCCAAGCCTTTTCAGTATGAGTTTTCTGGTAGAGGTTTTGACTTAATGTTTATTTCAAGTAAAGAAACATCAGTCTGTCCTATCAGCTGGCCAAGCCACTCAGGAACCCAAAGTAGTTCCAGAAAGAGCTGTAGAAAACTTTGATCTGCTCATATAGTCTCCTGGGTTAGTAACTCAGTTGACCTCAATGGTGCATGTATTTGTTAGACTCAAGTCCTGTGAAATTAGGATAAATCTGAATTAGTATCAATTTGTGTTTCAAAATGACCAGAAAGAAAAAATTTTTATCAGTACTTTTTGTGCTTTTAAACCAAAATTGTGGTGAAAAAATTGTCATTCAACGACAACAAAAAGTATATCAGTCTTTTGTGGCTTTGTAATGCTGACATGGCTTCTTTTTTCTACCTTTTTTTGTTCTTTTGTTTGGCTAGTTTCACTCTCCAGAGGCGTGCTACTGCCATGAGTAGCGTTTTTAGCATACCATATTCTGCAAACTGCATTAAGTGCCACATTTTCTGTTATGAAACAGTTTGCCTGGTTCAAATTATAATCTCACTCTTCCTGCCCTTTGCTGGTAAATCTGTTCTGTTTAACTCTTGGAAACCTCACCTAAGTTTTCAAGAAATATGGCTTGTTTTTGGCTCTGATCCTGGTGGAAAAAATGAACATGGTCTCTCGTTTCAATGTAGAAATTCTCTTATGCCATTTCTTAGTAAACGGCTATCTTGGAACTACAAAGTTGCCTTCGTAGGAGAGCGTGCTTATCTTTCTTTAAAGGGCTATTGAATGTTGCCAGACATCAAACCAAGGGTTTGAAAACAGTCACTTTAAATTTGCATTGCACCTACTACTTCCACCTGCCCATCATAATTCCATAAAGTTCGTGAAACATTACAGCCCTGGTTTTAAGGCTGTGGAGATACGTTGTTTTTGTTATTGAGACAAAAGACCAGGAAGAAAAAGTGGTGAAATATTCTATATCTTCCACAGTGAGCCAAGGTGGAGCAAAAATCCTTAATGGAAATCAGTAGGTAGGAACAGTGAGAAGAAAATGATGAGGAACTAAGTCAGAATTATAATTAAACATCAGATGGGAGGCTAATTAAGGGGTACAGACGATACCAACAGGAGGCCGCAGGTCATCTTCTTAGCCCATTCAGCCCATCGAGCATCTTCCAAACTCTATTACCTTGCATGCTCTTTCTAATTCTTTACTTAGTGATCTTGACCCCTTTCAACCCAGTCCCTACCCTTTGGGAGTCTCTGCCCTGGGTTACTAAAGCCATCATGAGAATCTGGGTGCTGGGGGATCCCTTTCCACAGGGCTGTTGTTATTAGAACTAATGTGAAGGGGATTCCCCTGGCATGCCAAATTGGAACTTTGTGTTTCTTTTCTCTGGAGACAGTGTTACACAGTTAGATTCAAGATTTCAGGTATTGTTAGTGTTGTGAGCATAGAGTGATGTGATATGGACCCAGATGGATGCTGTGCTCCCAGTGTTTCTTTATTGCAGTGGAGGAGTGCTGAGCTTTGGAATCTGGTGCTTTTACAGTGAGCTGTAAGCAAGTCTCCTCGTTGTCCTGAGGGAGACAGGGAGACATTACCTCATCTCTCAAGGTTGCTTGTTGGAAACACAACCCTGAGAAATGGCCTGGGTAAAGAGTGGTCAGGGCCTTGTATTCTTGGCGTACCCAGGAAGACGTATAGTAGCACTACTCATGAGAGACCCCCTAGAGGAATCTTTCAAGAAAAATGTGAATTTAAAAGAATCTGTTTACAATACAAAGCAATGCAAAGAAACTCTTAGAAAAATGGAGTGTGCCCGTGTTCTATTTCAGAAAAAAAGCATAACTTCTACTGTCACTTAAGCTGCTTGTTTTATCTATAATACCCAAGAATAGGTCTTCTGTTAGGTCAGAGTGTAAGCTGAATATCCTTAAATTATGTGGCTAGTTTAGATCTAAGAAGATAAATAATGAGTAGATGCTTTTTAGTAACTAAATAATAACAAAGACATTGAGATTATGATATTTTTTAAGGCTGTAAATTAGAGGAATCCATCAGAACAAATTCAGCAGGAAGGATTAGAGATCTGAAAAGCTATCCAGATTTTAGTTAAAAATTACTTCTGTGCTGACTACTTTTTGGCTTTGTTTCTGCCAGGGACTTTGCAAATAAAAGAAAACCATGCTTTGTTAAAATGTTAGCAGTTTCCTTTTAGATGGAGGTTTGGGGCTTCTAAAAATT